GTCAGGGTGCTGGTCAGCGGGGGCAGGAGTCAGGAGGGGCGGGGCTCGGCTGGGGGCTGCGAGGGGTCGGGGTGCGGAGGGAGGCGTTGGGGCTGCCCTCGGGAGGGTCCCCGAGACTGCGGGGCCATCGGGACTGAGGGCTTGGGTGGTGGGACGACTCTGGACCCAAGGGGTGGGCGGGGAGGGGGCCGGGTGCCTGGGCCGGGGGTGAGGACTAAGAGGAAAGCGATGAAGTAGACGGAAAGAGAAAGTCTAGTTATGCCTGGAGAGAATAAGTGAGAGGGGTCTCGGAGTGGAAAATTAGGAAATGGGTATTCCTCCGAGGGAGGTTTAGAGCCGAGGAAGAGATCCAGGTGTGAAGAATGGCTAGACCAACGTGAAAAGTTAAGCCCAAGTGGGAGGCACCCCGACCTAGAATGGGTGGGGCGGGGTCTTTATGCAAAGGAGGGTCATGTGAGGAGGGTGTTAGTGTCACCAGAATAGGCTGGGGGGAGGTATTCTCTTCGTGAGGTGTCGTGAATTCCATCGTGAAGAGTGGGTATACCTGGAGGATTAAGGGTGGTGAGAGAGAATGAAAAGTTAGATGAAGTTGGGGATCTGGGTATCCATAGGTTAATAGCCTATGGAGAGGGGATCTGGTTGCCTTCTGCCTGGGGCTTGGGATTTGCATGAGAGTGGATCCGGGTGTCCATAGGAGGGATTTAGGCAGTAGGAGGGGTTTGTCTGAAAGGAGTTTAAGCCACTGTGAAGGGTAGTCTGGGAATCCCTGGGTTGAGTGTGTTCAGGATCTTTTTGCAAAGGATAGGAATCGAGTTAATATGGAGGGGGTCTGAGTACCCCTGGAATGGGTTAGGGCAGGTGAGTTTGTAAGGAAAGGATGGTTTGTGGAGATAGGCCTGGGTGTTTCAGATAAGGAATTAGGGTTGTGGGAGGGGACCTCGATTTGTAGTGGGAGTGAAGTAATTTGCAGAGGGAAATCTCTCTTATCAATGGAAAGTGGTTAAGGTAGGGAAAGTCTGGATTAGGCTGCTGAGAGGAAAACTGGTTGGAGAAAGGCATGTGGGGCATTCATCTGGGCATCAAAGGGAGAGTTAGGGGGTAGTGGAGGTTTTGAGGTTCAGAAAGGGGAGTGATGGGGCTTTGGGGCAGTTTGAGTGTCTGGGTGTAGAGGTTGAGAACCTGGGGTGGGGGGTGCAGAGAAGAGCAAGTCTCAGAGAAGCTGAGGGTTTAGGGCCTGAATGAGAACCCTCCTGGGTACCAGGGAGTCGGAGTGGGGTAGTGACCTGGTAGCGAGAGGAGTCTGTGGGAGGAGGACTCTATTAGAGAAGATGGTCCAGGCCCCTGTGTGATGGTGGAGTAGGGCCTAGGGCCTGCTGTGAAACGAGGGATCAGGCAGGTGACCGGGACCTGGTGGGTGGAGTTTGGTGCCATTAGACTGGAGGTGAGACTCCTGGGAAAGGATTTCTGGGAAGGCTTTGTGCTTGGTACATTAATGTGTTGAAGAGAGGAGGAATTACTGGGGGTGGGGGCTGGAGTAGAAAAGTGGAAGCGAGGAGTTGAAGAGAGAAATAGGTTTAAGATTGGGGGGCACGATAAAGGGGAAGAAGTGTTCTTGGGAATGACTGAGGAAGCAGTGACTTAGTTGTGCTTTGTCCCCACCACTCCCCTCTCCCAGCCCAGGGCCTGGCCGCCGCCATGACCGAGGAGTCAGAGGAGACGGTCCTGTACATTGAGCACCGCTATGTCTGCTCTGAGTGCAACCAGCTCTACGGCTCCCTGGAGGAGGTGCTCATGCACCAGAACTCCCACGTGCCCCAGCAGCACTTTGAGCTGGTGGGTGTGGCTGACCCAGGAGTCACTGTGGCCACAGAAGCAGCTTCCGGCACCGGGCTCTACCAGACCCTAGTGCAGGAGAGCCAGTACCAGTGCCTGGTGTGCGGGCAGCTCCTGATGTCACCCAGCCAGCTCCTGGAGCACCAGGAGCTACACCTGAAGATGATGGCGCCCCAGGAGGCGGTGCCAGCCGAGCCGCCACCCAAGGCCCCCGCCCTGAGCTCCAGCACCATCCACTATGAGTGCGTGGATTGCAAGGCTCTCTTCGCCAGCCAGGAGCTCTGGCTGAACCACCGGCAGACGCACCTCCGGACCACTCCCACCAAGCCTTCCCCCCCAGTGGTCCTGGGGTCCCCAGTGGTCCTGGGGTCCCCTGTGGGCCAGGCCCTGGTGGCTGTGGAACACTCATACCGCAAGGCAGAAGAGGGTGGGGACGGGGCAGTGGTCCCCTCGGCTGCTGCCACTGCCGCTGATGTGGTGACCGAAGTGGAGCTGCTGCTCTATAAGTGCTCCGAGTGCTCCCAGCTCTTCCAGCTGCCTGCTGACTTCCTGGAGCACCAGGCCACCCATTTCCCTGCCCCCGCCCCAGAGTCTGAGGAGCCTGCCTTGCAGCAGGAGACCCTGACCCCACCGCTGGCCGACGTGCCGGTGTCTCAGCCTGACCCTCTGCCGTCCTCAGACCACAGCTACGAGCTGCGCAACGGTGAAGCCAACGGGCGTGATCGCCGGGGCCGCAGGACCCGGAGGAACAACAGTGGGGAGCCTGGCAGAGCCTCCACCCAGGAACTGTTTTGCTCGGCCTGTGACCAGCTCTTTCTCTCGCCTCACCAGCTCCAGCAGCACCTGCGGAGCCACCGGGAGGGCGTCTTTAAGTGCCCCCTGTGCAGTCGTGTCTTCCCCAGCCCTTCTAGTCTGGACCAGCACCTCGGAGACCACAGCAGCGAGTCTCACTTCCTGTGTGTGGACTGTGGCCTGGCCTTCAGTACTGAGGCCCTGCTCCTGGCCCACCGGCGAGCTCACACCCCGAACCCTCTGCATTCGTGTCCGTGCGGAAAGACCTTTGTCAACCTCACCAAGTTCCTCTATCACCGGCGTACCCATGGGGCGGGGGGCGTCCCTCTGCCCGCAACCCCCGTCCCACCGGAGGAGCCTGTCATTGGTTTCCCTGAGCCAGCCCCGGCAGACACTGGAGAGCCAGAGGCCCCAGAGCCCCCCGCGTCTGAGGAAGGCCAGGGGCCCGCAGCCCCTGGCACGTACCGCTGCCTCCTGTGCAGCCGTGAGTTTGGCAAGGCGTTGCAGCTGACCCGGCACCAGCGTTTTGTGCACCGCCTGGAACGGCGCCATAAATGTAGCATTTGCGGCAAGATGTTCAAGAAGAAGTCTCATGTTCGAAACCACCTGCGCACACACACGGGCGAGAGGCCCTTCCCCTGCCCAGACTGCTCCAAGCCCTTCAACTCGCCTGCCAACCTGGCCCGGCACCGGCTCACACACACCGGGGAGCGGCCCTACCGCTGCGGGGACTGTGGCAAGGCGTTCACGCAGAGCTCCACGCTGAGGCAGCACCGCCTGGTGCACGCCCAGCACTTCCCCTACCGCTGCCAGGAGTGCGGGGTGCGCTTCCATCGCCCCTACCGCCTGCTCATGCACCGCTACCACCACACCGGCGAGTACCCGTACAAGTGTCGCGAGTGCCCCCGCTCCTTCCTGCTGCGCCGGCTGCTGGAGGTGCACCAGCTTGTGGCCCACGCGGGGCGCCAGCCGCACCGCTGCGCGTCCTGTGGGGCCGCCTTCCCCTCCTCGCTGCGTCTCCGCGAGCACCGCTGTGCCGCTGCCGCTGCCCAGGCCCCGCGGCGCTTCGAGTGCGGCACCTGCGGCAAGAAGGTGGGCTCCGCTGCGCGGCTGCAGGCGCACGAGGCGGCCCACGCGGCTGCTGGACCTGGAGAGGTCCTGGCCAAGGAGCCCCCCGCCCCTCGGGCCCCCCGGGCTACGGCCACGCGCTCCCCCGTGGCCTCCCCAGCCACCCTGGGAGGCACTGCCCCTGCCGCCCCCGCCCGGCGCCGAGGCCTGGAGTGCAGTGAGTGCAAGAAGCTGTTCAGCACAGAGACGTCGCTTCAGGTACACCGGCGCATCCACACGGGCGAGCGGCCGTACCCGTGTCCAGACTGCGGCAAGGCCTTCCGACAGAGCACCCACCTGAAGGACCACCGCCGCCTGCACACGGGCGAGCGGCCCTTTGCCTGTGAAGTGTGTGGCAAGGCCTTTGCCATCTCCATGCGCCTGGCAGAGCATCGCCGCATTCACACGGGTGAACGGCCGTACTCCTGCTCCGACTGCGGCAAGAGCTACCGCTCCTTCTCCAACCTCTGGAAGCACCGGAAGACCCACCAGCAGCAGCACCAGGCAGCGGTGCGGCAGCAGCTGGCGGAGGCGGAGGCGGCCGTCGGCCTGGCTGTGATGGAGACCGCGGTGGAGGCCCTGCCTCTCGTGGAGGCCATTGAGATCTACCCGCTGGCGGAGGCCGAGGGCGTCCAGATCAGTGGCTGACCGCCCCGTGCCTCCGATCTCTGTCGCGAAGAACCTCCTCTGCCTCCTCCTAAATCTCTGTATATATTCTGCCCCTTCCGCTGTCCCTCCCAACCACCATGTAATTTCTGTAATTAGATTTCTCTTTTCTGAGGAGGTGCTTGGGGGTACTGGGGATGCATAAGGGTACCCCCGCCACCCACCTTCCACTGGTTAGCACTGGTGGCCCCAGGTGAAATTGTCAATAAAGACTTGAATTGGACATTTATGTACCTGTCTGGCCCAGCTGTGTGGGTGGAATCTGGGAGCCGTAAGTCTGGGTACTTGGATTTCTCGTGACTGTGTTTCTGGCATGTAGACCAGGGCCCGGCATCTGATAGGAATGGAACTGAATTGCCCTACTGAGTTGTAGATAGTACTGAATTAGAAGCGAGTCTGCGAGGCCGGCTCTCCAGGAACCCAGGGAGCGGGGCCTTGGCCAGTACTCAGTGGAGGCCGTGTGGCCCGCTTGCCACTAGAGGCCACCACAACTCCACAGAAAAGCCTTGAGCGATTATGGTGGCAGGAGCATTTGGGAATATCTGCAGATTCCCACCCCCGTCTTCCCACTTCCTGGCCTGCTGTGGGCCTTCTCCCCAAAACACTCTGGCTTCTCCCTGAGGGAAGTGCAGGTCAGGGGAAAGGTATGATCTGGGCAGCAGAGGCGGATGGCTGCCGGCCGCCAGGACCAGCTGTGGAGTGGGGAAGGTTCTGAGTGACAGTTTGCTGGGGGTAGAAGCCTCATGAAGGGGGGAGGTGCCCACTTAGTGTTGGACTCTGGCCCAACCAACAGGTATTTGTTTTGGGGAGAAGGATGGTAGGGTGATGTTTAAATATCTAGTTTGCCTTAAATACTCTCCTGTCCTTTTTAAAAAAAAAAAAAAAAATCTTCACGATCCTCCTGTGAGGAGAACGTTTTCAGGGAAGGAATCTGAAGTGATAAGCAGAGAGGTGACTTGCCCAAGGTCACTCAACCCAGATTGGGCAGAGCTTGAATTCAGGCCTGGTTTCAGCTGGCCTGACGACCCTCACGCGCTACTTTGTGCTGCTGAGTGCCTGGGGAGGCCGTGGAGAAAGGAAGACGGCGACTGTGTGGCTCACGGTAATGCTCAGTTACTGTGCTAATCGTCACCCACACCCCAGGAAAATTGAGCCACCCACCAAGTATACTTCGTTCTTATTTGGAACCCTTATAAACGAAAGGCAAAAGGGAGCTGCTTTATAGTGAACTGAAACTGCAGGAAAAGGGGAGCAGCCCCTCAGTCTCTTACTTTTGGTCCCCTTCAGCAGTTCCTGTGCCCTCTGTGGGAACACTGAGGCATGTTCTAGAAGTCATTGGCTCAGCCTTTTGCACAGGTGAGGAAATGGGGCACATAGGTGGTAGTCAGAATTAGAAACCTGGTCCCCTAACTCCATTAATAGGTTATTAAGCATAATTTTAGTCATTTAAAAAAATGTACTCACCCTCCTGCTCTCCCGCCAGCTCCTCGTGTGAAGGGCAGTGCCCGTCGTCATCGTTCAGCCACAGTGTAGGTTGTGGGCACCATCTTTTCATCACCACATGCCCTGCAGAGAGAACTGGAACCATCTGAGCCCCACATTCCTGAGCCCTTAGTCCCCAGGCAAGGGCCGTTCTCAAATTGTGCCCCCTCAAGAAGAGCCGGAACATCCTGAAGATGGTATTAACTGAGTGCCTAGGACAGTGGGAGTTCTCTTTGGCAAAGCCAGATCCAAATCAGGCTGAAAAGGGGCAGGAGTGGGGCAGCCTGAGGTGCTGCTAGGCCCTGACATAATGATGCTTGCAGCAGACAAGCCAGACTCTGTGTTGCTGTCCTTCATTCTTGTCTTGAATCTCTTAAGCTTTGCACTCCCACCCTGAGAAAAGTCCTCATGCAAAATGTGTTTATGAGCCCATTCGTTGTCGATGAGTCCACCGACACTCAGCGGCCCTCAGTTAAACACTTCAGATGACACTAATCAAAACGTGTTGGATGCCGGCATTTGAGTTGGACGGGTAGGGGTTCTTGAGCACTCAACGTGCCTTAGGCCACACCCAGACATGTGGATCCAGCCAGCATGTCCGGAAACCGGGAATTTAGAACACACCACGCAGACCCCTCTGCGAAGAGTGTTGCATTCGCCGCCTTCTGTGGGCTATGGCAGGTGGCAGGACAGAACAGTGGTCCTGCGGCCCCAGTGTGTCCTGACAAGTATGGCTGTCCAGGGTGGGCATGTGAGCACGTTGGGCATATTCATCAGGGGCAGGTGCCTCTGGTTTAGCTCCAGAGTGTTCTCCGGTGTGCCATCTTGTGCTTGTCACAGCATGACTGGGTGACAAGGAACTCCAGGGTCTGCGTGGTTCTGGCTATACCATGCTGAGGGCAGAGGCTGGACCCAATGCCCTTTCTCAGGTACTATTTTGAACTTCTCTGAACATCTCACCATCAGCCCTGTTCCTGTGGACTTGACAATTGGGAGGTGCTTTTCTCTTTCCATCTTGCAAAGGGGTGTGGTGCCAATACTTTTTAATTTATGCATACAGAACTGGGGTACAGGCCAGAGGTACAGGGGCAGTGAGAATTTACCAGACAGTGGGGAGCAGAACAGGCAGATCAACGAAGTACACTGCTGAGGGAGCTGCAGGGAGACAGGTCTGCCACGCCATGTGGGTCACCTCCAGGGTGGGGGATTGAACTCGCACAGAATGGGCCCTGGCCAGTCTCAGTGCTCGTCTAACCCATTGCAGGGAGCCACCGATACTAAGTTACCAAACCCCTCTAGTCCTTCTGTTCACCCCCCCCCCCGTCCCTCCTCACTACTGAACTTGTGGGATCCCTGTACCTTTGTGCCAGGCATATTCAGAGGATGGGATGGTGACAAGGAGACCTGATGGCAGTGAGCTGTTGGTATCATTTCTGAGTTCCAGTGGTGAGGTCTTGGGGCCTGGCCCATGAAGCTGTTCCTGCCAGGTGACCTAAGATGGGCATGAAATACTGAGTGAATGACAGTTAACATTCTTAGAAAGAGGGGGGCTGTGTCCTTTGTGCCACCAGACTACTTCAAAGTCCTGTTTTTATAGGGTCTTGCTAGTTCTCCAAGGAGGGACGTGGGGAAGCACTTGCTGGCTTTCTGTCTGCCTCACAGCTCTTCTGTAAGAAGGGGCGCTGGAGAGCTCTCCTAAGCACTGCACTGACACCATCTCGTTCCATTTTTCCAAGCCCACGGGCAGGTGCTGTCCCTACATTGCAGATGAGGACACCGAGGCTCACACATCTATACAATGGCAGAACTGAGGTTTGAATTCACCCTAAGTTCTGAGATTTGGCTTTCTCAGTGTCAAGGGAGGAAAAACAAGACCACCCAAACCTTCTGAACATCCACTGTGGAACAGAAGTAAAGCCCACCCTGACCCAGCACACGCGTACCCCACCAACCCCCACCACCCTGCCCAGGACAGAGAGGAGACCAAGGGAGAATACGCATCATTTCTCTCTGTACAGTTTTTAATTTTTTATTTTTTGATGTAGTTCAGATGAATGACACACTCAAGTTACAAAAATGGGGCCTTAAAAGAAGCACATTGTACAATGAACAAGCAGATTGGAGTTAAGAACACTGAAACGCTAACCCGCTACCACGAGAAGAGACAGGGAAAGAATACAGGGTGGGGAGGGAGGGGCTGTCAACACAGGGGTCAGACAGAACTGAAAGGGGGGCTAACTTGGTGCGAAAAGGGGAAGGCAGGTCCTCGGGGCCTACTCAATTTCCAGACACCACCTCCTGGTCTCCCTTACCCACTACTTGCTGTCACCTCCCACCCCTACTCCAACCTGGTCGCACATAGGAGTAGGTGAGACGAGGCCCCAGAAAGGGCCGAGCCGTTCAGCTCTTCCAAAGACGGGGTGATCGCCTTGTCCTAGTGCAGCCAGGGTTTGGGAGGTGACAGTGGCAGCGGTGGGCTAAGAAGCCAGAGGGGAGCTAGTGGGGCAGAGCCCACCCAAGATCAAGCCCCTGCGTCCCACTCCCCACCCCCAGATCTGCCCCTTCCCCCACCACGATCCAAAGGCCCACTCTACAAGTTTTTTAAGAGAGGCCCCCAGTCACCCTGCAATTATATAAATAAATAAATACTGAGCCCCTGGGCTTGGAGGGAAGGGAGGGTAGCAGGGGTAGAGGAAAGAGGACAGGAAGGGGGAGGGGGAGGGGGTCACAGACATAGTAAATAGTTGTCTCCGTCCCAGCAACACTTCTCTCTGGATTTTTCTCTCCTTTTTGTGTTTGTTGAACAAGGAGCTAACATCTCAAGGACAAATACTTAAAAATATACATTTTTTTTTTTCTTTTTCGCCTTTGTCATCGTCATCTTGCTTTGGAGACTGCTGAGGTCAAAGTTCAAGCCGCACGAAGGACCGGCGGCTTGGAGTTTTTGTGTATTTTTTTTTTCATTTTTATTTTTATTTTTTTTTCGCTTTTTTTCCCAACGTATAAAAAGGTAGCGGAGTTGTCTGTGGGTTTTTTTTTTTTTTTTAATGGTTAAATCTTTGGTTTGTTTCTTTTTTCTCTTGGAGGCCTTTATCTCTCGCACTTGCCTTTCCCACTCAGAGGCCAGTGGGGCCTGCGTGTCGCGCAGTCTTGCTCAGTCTGTCATTCTCTCTCTCACTCAGTCCCCCTACCCTGGGCTAATGGGGGAGAGAGGCACCCTGGGATTTGGGTGGAGGGAGGACATCAGTCAGAGGTCAAGAGGTCCTCCTCCAGATAGCTGGTACCCTAGCCCATCTTTCCAGGCCCCCAGGGGCTTAGAGACCCTCTCCTGACCTTCCCCCAGGGAGATGCTTGGAAAAGCTCACACTCTTCCCCCTCCCCATCTCGGTCCCCACCCACAGAGGGTGTGGGTTCCCCATCTCTGCCTACCCCCACTTACTCTCCCTCCCATTTCCAACCCCCGTCCACCCCGAAGAGAACAGAAAGAGGTGTTTTAGTTACTGGCATTTTTTTTGGCACAATTAAAGGGCCTGTCAGGAGGAGTCTCTGTCCCTCTCTCAAACAGGAGGTCGGGGCCAGGCGGACAGAGATTCAGGGGGCTTCTTTCTCCAATCCACTCATCTTCCTCCCTTTTGAGCCCAGGCCCCGGCCCCCCACCTCAGGAGTCTCATCTAGCCCAGAGCCTAGCCTGGGGTCTCCCTCCCCATCCCTCTCAAGGTCCCCCAGCCCCCAACTCTCTCGCTCACACACAGACACACGGACACAGGCCCTGCACAGACCACAAAATAAAAACGATGAGATAGTTTTGTTTCCCGGAGTCGAGACGGGGGGCTGGAGGGGAAGGGGCAGAGGGGGGTGGGGGGCAGGAATCCCCCCATCACCTTCCCAACCCTGGCTCCCTCCAGCCCCCCCGTCCCTTGCCCTGGCTGGCCCCCAGCCAACGATATTTGGTTTCCTTTTTTTAACATTAAAGTTCTATGAGGTATTTGGTGCCTTATCTCGAGTCCTCGGGGGAGGGGGCCCAGGGGGGAGACCTGGGGCAACACTTGCCCCTTCTTCCCTCCCACCCCCTTCCCAATATTTGGTTTCACAGCTGTAGTTAAAGCTTGGGATTTGGTTATCTTTTCCCCCTCCCAGGAATTTTTCTTTTTTCTGTTTTTTTTTTTTCTTTTCCTAGTTATGGGGGTTGGATGGGGAGGTCCCCACCACCCCCGGCTGCACGGGGGTCCCTCCACCAATTCAGGGCATCGGCCCCATCCCTGCCCCCTGCTTCCTCCTCTCCTCTCTGCCCCACTCCCCCCACACTGGGGTGGTGGGGAGGCCCCAGGTGGCAGACTTGATGAGGAGGACGCAGGATGAAGTGGGTGGTGGTGAGTCCTGGATTTTCTTTCTTTCTTTTTTTTCTTTTTTCCTTTTTTTGTTTTTTTTTTGTTTTTTTGGGTTTTGTTTGTTTTTTTGTTTTTTTGTTTTTTTTGGTCTAGAATCATAGTTTTTGTTTGAGTCATCTCCACCATGCCTTCCATGCTGCCTGTCTTCTCGGAGGGGTTTGTGGTGGTCATTCCTTTCACTTTGCTCTGCTCAAACGTGCTTCCTATCCGGTCAGGAGCCCGCGGCCCCTGTCTCTACGCATGGGCTGGGGCCCAGGCCCTCTTGCCTGTTCCTTCTCTTCAGGAAATAAAAATGGACCAACGCAGAGGTAGGGTGAGGGCAGGGAGTCGGTTCAGCAGAGACGCTTACATTCGGACGAGGATGGGTCCACCGTACGCCGGGCCCCCTCGGTGCCAGGGTGGGGAGCGGCCACCACCGCCGCCCAGGCCAGGCACCCCGAGGCCCCCACACAACAGAGTCTCTGCCGCCTCCTGGCCCAGCCCAACAGTTCCACTTCCCGGGTGGGAGAAGGGAGACAAGACAAAAAGAGAACGCTGAGGCCTCGGGGCGCAGGGGGGCCCCTCTCGGGGGTGTCCGGCAGCACTGCCCATTCTGTGTCTTGGGGCGCTCCCCTCCCTCTGCTCCTGCCCAGCGGGGCGGGCAGGGGCCACTCTCATTTTAATGGCTCGCGTCCTTCACAGCAACACTTTGGTTTGAGGAGAGACACAGAAAGAAGGAGATTGGGAGAAGTGAGACAAGAGCCAAAGGGGAGAGAGAAAAAGAGAGGTGAGCAGAGAGAGGAGACAGGAGACAGGGCAGAGGAAGACAGAAGAGAACAGAAAAAGAAATCAAAGGAGGAATCAAACCACCCGAGAGTTTGTTACTTTTCCTTCGTCCATTCTTTTTGCTTGCTTATTCCTTTTTTTTTTCCTGTTTTTTTTTTTTTTAAAGCTTTTTCAGTCGATTGGGGGGGCGGGGAGTTTGGGGCTCTTCACCCCTGTCCCTGACACCCTCTCTCAGCCCTGCCCACCCATTCCATCCGCCCTGGCTGAGGGACAGGCCCTGCCCCAGCCGCCCCCCTCCGGCTTTCCCGAAGACGACGTCCATGAGGTATTTGTGAAGAGAAAGAAGCATCTGTCCTTCCATCCGCCGTGGGGACCAAGGGCCTGGACCACCGGTGCAGGGACTTGGCACCACCTTGCGGCTCCCTCTACTCCTTGAAGAGTCCTCATCTTCTTTCCCTTAAATATATATATATCTATAAATTCTTTTTTTTTCTAGTTTTAATTTATTGTTTGTTTGGTTTTTGTTTTTGTTTGTTTGGTTTCTTTTTTTGGTTCAAAACTTTGTCGGCCTCCACGACAGCAGAGGGCAAAGTGGCTCCCAGTGGCGTCTCCTCCGTCCGTGGAGATGCGTACGGGGCCGGGCAGACACGGGTCCAGCCGAGATTCGTGGGAGGGAGTGGTGGCCACCACAGTGCCCTCTCAGGCGGGCCCACAGGCCATGGCACTGTCCCTGCCACGTGGACCCTGATGGGGTCGCCATCTCGAGGAACCCCCCCACTGGGGTGCGTGCGTGTGTGCGTGTGTGTGGGGAGAGGAAGAGGCATTGCCAGTGTCACAGGGGTACAGGGGGAAGAGCGAGGTGAGTTCTCTTTTTGGTTTCTGGTCAATGTCAAAGACGGGAAGGATCCCACGGATAGGCACTGGAATATGAATTTTTTTTTTTCAGGGAAACCGACAGACAAGGATGGAAAAAAAGACAACTTGAACGCCCTCACCTCATCCCCTCTTGCCTGAAATGTCCACCTTCCCATGGGCCGGGGAGGGTGGTCGATTCCAGAGCAGAGGAGGGTGACGGGGCTGGAGGGGGGGTGTGTGAGAGCTAGAACTTGGCAAAATGGCCTAGCCTACCCTTCCGAGGGAAAAGGCGAGGTACAAGGGGTGAAAAGTCATCCCAGGCCTCCCCTGGACACTCCCCTGGCTGGGGGTGGGGAGGGGGTCGGAGGTTAAAGCAAGACCCCCGCCCCCCCGCCCAGGTGGGGCGAGCCGGGGGTCGAAGGGACAAGGGACACATCTTAGGGACACATTCTGTTGAGCGCAACGCTAAAAATTCTGTACATCCTTTGGATGAAGCTACTGAATATTTGGTGTAAAGTTGTTCAGGCCCTTTCTCTTTCACCTTCTGGAAAAGAACATTTGGTTGATGGTTCTGAGCCCACACCTCTGCCCGGGCCTATGCCCCACTTCGGGGCGGTCTGGGCTGGGGCCAGGAAGCTGGCACGTTCTCTTTTTCCTTTTCTGTTGCCCCCCAAGTGGGAGGCCAAGTTGGGGTTGCCCCACAGCCAGGGCTCAGCTGAGGTCGGCCCTTGGAGGCTTCTCCGCGGCTGGGTTCTTATTTGGCGTCACAGCGGTGAGGGTGAGCACGCTGAGGTCTGGCTCGTGACTTTTGGTGTGGTTTTTGGTTTGTTCGGTTGGGGGGGGTGTTTGTTTTTGGTTTTGTTTGTTTTTCACCTCTGGTTCCTTTGGGGCAGCTGGTTTCTGTTGTGATTATTTTTGGTTTTCTTTTTTGTTGGTCGGTTTCTTCTCTCTCTCTCTCTCTCTCTTGGTTTATTTAATTTTTTTGGTTGGTTGGTTTTTTTTTTGGTCTTTCCTCCCTTGTCACTCCCGCTCGAGGACCCCCTGTGTTCCCACTGCAGGGCTCCTCGCCCTCTTCTCAGGCGGGGACTGACGTGGGGGTCGAGGAGGAGGAGGAGGGGAGGCATGGTGGGCCCTCACTCGGGCTTGGACCCTGCCTCGGGGCCCCCCGGGCCTCCAGGGGTCTGTGCTGCCGCCTCGCTGCAGGTAGAGGACGACGACGACGAGGAGGACGACGACGAGGAGGAGAGGCCAGGAGACTTGCTGGAGATGGAGGCCGCCACGGCCGCAGCAGCTGCGGAGACCAGACCCACGCCAGGCGGGGCGCTGAGCAGGGGCAGCCCGGCATGGTTCAAGAAGAGCGGCGAGGTCACCAGGCCGGGGCTCCCCGGAGCCGCGCCGGCCGCCCCCAGCACCAGGTTCCCGCTGCCATCAAGGCTGGTAAGGGGCAGGGTTCCACCAGAGGCCAGGGCTGGCAGGGAGAGAGAGAGGCTGGCTGGGCACCTTCCGGCGTCCTGCCCGGAGTGACCCTGTCTTCCCATCTGCCCCACGGACCCCCGTCAGCACCCCTCACACCTTCCCCAGAGGTGAGATGGGCATGAAGAGGCGAGCGATGCGGTGAGCAGGGGCAAGATGGCATGGCTGGAGCAGCAATGGGGGGGCTGGAACCCCGGGGGGCGGGGCTGGTGACCATGGGAGTGACATGTGGTAGCACGCACCTTGGATAGTGGCCAAAGGGTTGTTGCTCATGAGGGCTGGACTCAGCCCGGAGCTCAACCCCACCATTGTGCTTCTGCAAGAGGCAAAGCAGAGGGTTAGCAGGGGCAGGACCCCGGCAGAACTGCGGGGCGGCTCCCCATCCAGAAGCGCAGCGACCCTGCTCCCTGCAGGCCCCCAACCCCTTGTAGCTGTCCACTTACCCCGTGCTGGGGTTCAGGCCCGACAAGCCGATAGCCGAGTGGCTGCCTTGAGGGCTGGGATTTGTGCTGTTGGTGGTGGCCGGGGGTGGCGGGGGAGTGACAGAGGGAATGGAATTGAGGGGGGGCACAGCCCCACCCCCGCCACCACCTCCTCCGGCTGTCCGGCTGGGGTGGAGCGTCCCCACAGCTGAGGATAAGGTAGTAACTACCAGAAGGAGACACAGAGAGGGAGACTTCAGCTTCCACTCATTCATTCTTCACCAAGTACCTGCGGTTAAATCATTTCTCCCCTTGCCCAGAGCTTCTACTCCACCCTCTAAATCCCTGGGCCATTTCTCTGAGCCTCTGCCACAGTGACAGCAGTCACAGAAGCACAGAAAGAACAACGCCACCTACCGAGCCTGTGTCTGGTACCCAAAACCCATCCTGAATCTCAGCCCTGTTACCCAAAGACCTGGGCACCAGGAGACAAAGCCCGAGGCTCCCCCTAGGGGCCAGGCGGGAGGGTGCAGCTCAGCGATCCTCTAGGCCAACACCGGCTCAGAGCCCTGTCTAGGCAGGCGGGTCCTTGAGCAGGGCCTTCACCTCGCAGGCCTTCAGTGCCCTCAGCTGGAAAACGGGGACAGCCACAGACTCCACCTCATAAATGAGTGTTAAGCGAGTCAATACATTTTCGAGTTTAAAACAGTGCCAGGCATATCCTCACGACTTTGCAACATCTCCACCCCAGTGGCTCTTAATCTAAGGAAGGGACATGTGGTTTTGAGGCAGGTAGTGCCACCTAATTTCCCAGAGAAAGTGCCATGGCAGCTTTATTTTTAAATTATTCATATATTTTCTATTATTCATATATATGCATATATACGTGTATATATACGGTATGTGTATATAGATGGGGGTGCGTGTGTATACACACCCCACGTATATGTGGTGAAGCAGCAGGCCCTGCCCCAGCAAGGGTGAAGGGCTTTGGGTACAAAAGCTTGTAATGGATATTCATGTGGGTAGCTCCTGTACCTAGTATACATTCACAATGTCATTATTAAAAAATCAAGGTTCCGAGAGGCAAAGTCACTTCTAGTGAATTTTGATAAATGCCAGAAACAACCCGAGTACATCTCCAGCAACCACACACTTTCTTCATATGATATCATGAGGCAGATGGAAGTGATCTGCTCTGGCTGGAGGGACGATGTGGCCTCTCCCTTCTGCCCTCTGCTGCCCCCGTCAACCCCAGGCCGAGTTTCCAGGCCTGCGGACACGCTGAGCCTCTCAAGAATCTCAGGCCTACACTGCGCTCTCTCGGAATCCCCTCACCACCTTCTGTCCCCCCTGACCTGTTGTGCTCAGACTGCTCGAAGCTTGGGACAACGGCAAGGTCCCGGCGCCCCCTTGGGATGTGACCTGGGGAGAGAGGGAAGAAGGCACGTTAGGCCACAGTCTCCAGCAGCCCCCATTCGTCTGCCTCCGGGACAGGGGGAAAGGGGTTTTGAGGGTGATGCTATGTTTGAATTGTGCCAGGACTTCCTCCATACCTCTCTTTACATTCACTCCAGGGAAGCCCAAAACACAGCAGGAAGCAATCACTGTTACTCAAGAGCGCCCCTGCCACCCCCATTGCCACCCCCATCGGTCGGGCTCAGGCAGGCCCATCTGCACACCCACCCACAGCTTCTCGGCAGTCCTGGTCCTGTCTGTTGTGACCAAGCACTGAAGAGCAGCTGCCTGATACAGTCCTAAAACTGTGGGATCTGTAAGCTAAAACTCCTCTCCCAGAATGAACAGCCATGCCCAGTACAAGTGGTGCGGGCAGCAGAATCTGCTCAAGGTCACCCAGGCAAGGGAGGAGCAGGTCTGAACTGGGGGGTGGGGAGGTGTCTCTGTGTGAAGCTGTTGGGGTGCCATGTTGCTTGATTTCCTCAACCTTCCGTCAGCCCCAGGAGGCTCACTCTAAATGTGACCCCATCCTTCGCTGCTCAAAACTCCTCCTCAGCTCCGCACTGCCCATGGTTCAGTTCAAACTCAGCCCCACTCTTTCATACCCAATTCCGCCCCAATCTCTCCAACCACGCTCGTTACACTGCAGCTTCTAAAATTAGGGTCAACGCTGGCTTCTGGAACTCCGCACTCACCAGTCCCTTGGCTGCCCTCGCTGTGCAGGCTGACACCCGTGTGTCCTACAAGACCCAGCTCAGAAGGCCCCTCTTCCTCCCCAGGTTGGGGTGCTCTACAGCTCTTTCCCCAGCAGGTGAATAAAGGGACGCCCCAGTGTGTCTGACCCGAGCAGGTCGTTGTGTGTTGTGGACCCGGGTGCGAGCCCAGGGAGTCTCGATGTCCCTGCTGTGTCTGTGCAGTCAAATCTGGGGGTGTAGGGGGGCACTGTGGGTCCTGGAAATATGTAGCCATCCCCGCTTGTCTCCGACTGTGGCAACTGGCTCTGTGGGTGACCCCAACACCAGACCAGTTCCCTGGCCACTGTGCGTCCCCGTGTGGGTGTGCCGCACCCACGTGCCGGCTGTCCCCGAGGGTGACTCTGACTGCCTCAGATCTAGGCACTGTGGACTACGGGGTGGGTGATGCAGCACACAGGAGCAGGCCGAAGGGCGAGGGGGCGGAGGGGCTTGGTACCAGATGGGGGCTGTAGCTGGCTGGCTTGCCCGGGCTGGGCAGCATGGGGGCTGCGCTGCAGGGGTTGATGCGTTTCTCCTTCTGGCGCCGGTTGCAGAACCAGACGCGGATGACTTCTTTCTCCATGTGCAGCTGCTCGGCGATCAGCAGGATCTCCTCTGAGGTAGGCTTCTGGTTCTGCAGGCAGAGGGCTCTTTAGCCCCGCCCACCCTCTCACCACCCCGGGGCGGCCCAGGACCGGCAGTGGGGAAGGGGGTTGCTCACCGCTAGAAAACTCTTCTCTAAGGCGAAGCGGACGTTGGTCTCGATGCTGGTCCTCTTCTTGCGTCTCCGGCCAGGGAGGCCGTCGAAACCCAGGCTGGGGCTGCTCAGCTGGTTGGGGCTGGGCATGCTTGAGTCCACAGACATAGTCTCTGTGCCCGGAAGGACGTCTGAGCGTGAGAGGACGCCTCCCCGGACTCGGACTCGGACTCGGACTCGGTCTCGCCGCCACCCACCCACCCACCCATCCCTCCCTGCTAGGGCGCCCCAACCCAGTCCCCCACCTGCGTCATTGAGCCACTTCTCCAGGAGGGGCTTGAGTTTGCACATGTTCTTGAAGCTCAGGTTGAGGGCCTCGAAGCGCGAGATGGTCGTCTGGCTGAAGTCGTTGCCGTACAGCTTGCCCATAGCGAGGCCCACATCTCCCTGAGTTCGAGCGGCCAGGATGGGGCGGTGGTCAGGGCCGGGCCTCCGCGCTCTGGGCAGCCCCGCCCACGGCTGGCAAAGCCCCGCCCACCACACCCACGCCAGCCCCGCGGGTGACGCCCTGCCCAGCTGGGCCCGCCTCTTGCCCACCCGCTACCTGGCATCGCCCCGCCCACAGCTGGCGGCGGGCTCCGG